TTAATGGTACAGCTTGGGTCCAGCACCAGGCACAGTGGGCACCCTGCAGCACTCAAATAGCAAAGAGAATGAAGAAAGCAACCATCAGACAGAAGAGCCCCATGACCCTAGACAGACCAAAGCCCAGGCTGATGTAGAAGAGCTGCTGCTTGAGAGGGCTTTCTGGTATAGCCGAGGATCAAACTGCCCAACACCATTCTGATGCCAGCCCTGGATCCAGCCACACCACCAACAAACTTGGTTGCTATGTCAATGTCCCAGGGAACTACACTGGTCTGGAAGTCCCATTTAGCCACCTGCAGTTCAAGGGTACTGCCAGAGGATGGTTTAGACAGGTCCTGGGGCCTACTCAGGAAGGAGGCAGAGGTAGGCCTTATAAGACCTCAGGGGCCAGGGAGATGGTTCAGTGGAATAAGCACTTGCCTAGCAAGCGCAGGGGCCCAAGTTCAATCCCTGGTTCTGAAAAAAAAAAAAAAAAAAAAAAAAAAAAAAAAAACAACTCAAGTACAACAGAGGATCAGCACTGGAGACAAGAAAAGGGATCTGGTGGTCTACATGTTTCAGTCTCACAGCTTTATTCCTTGGTCCTCTTATGTGCTTCCTAAATGTAACAAAGCTAAGAGATATTTCAGCAAATGTGCTTTGTGGACAATCCTACCGAACAGCCACTCTTAGATGATGTCAGGACAAAAGGGATATCTCAGGGCCCACAGGGCAGGGACACTGAAGCCAATAAATTCATCCCTCTGACCCACAGGGGTCACAGATGTCCAAGCTGTCTGTGGTCCTGAGCACAGATCCATTTCTCTATCTACTTCCTGCTGTTCCTTTCTTGCAAGTATTTACTGCTCTTTAAAAACCACACTTGCAGGCCCAGGGAGATGGCTCAGTGGAATAAGCGCTTCCCTGGCAAGTGCAATCCCTGGTTCCACCAAAAAATAAAAATAAAATAAAATAAAAATAAAACCACACTTGGCCAGCTGCAAAAGCACTGGGGTATTAGAGAAGTTCTTCACTTGTGCAGTCCTTGTGCAAACAACCTCCAGCATCTTTTCTGAGATGTTCATGAAAATCTCTGGGAGTTCAGTGTAAAAATCAAAAAGAGTTTAGCATAGAGCCTGGCACTGAAGAGGTATAGCTAATTTAAGTCTGTACCAAAAAATAAATAATTAGGGGCAAAGGATGGAGCTCAGCATTGCAGTGCCTATGTGACAAGCACAAAATCCTCAGTTTGATTACCAGTACCAAATAAATAAATAAATAAATAATCTGTGATCCTCTGTCCCTTACCAAACGAAAGCCAACCAATCTCTATTAGAAACTAAGTTTCCTGCTGGGGTATGGTGGCACATGCCTACAATCCCAGCACTCAGGAGGCTGAGGCAGAAGGGTCACTGTAAATTCAAGGCCAGCCCCAGAGCTACATAGTGAGTTCAAGGCCAGCCTAAACTATATACAGTATATAGCAAGATTCTGTCTCAAAAACAAAAAATGTTAAAGGGAGGAGAGGTGTTGGGTGGAGGAGAAGAATCAACAAATATGATGTACAGGTACAAACTTCTAATGAATGTGCTCATTATGAATATCTAAAATGTTCCTATTAAATCAATAATTTAAAAACTCAAGTTCAAGGAAAAAAAAACCACAACAGAAAAAAAAGTTCTTAATGTAAATAATAAGAGTTACAAAAGAGTAGAACACATGGTCCCTCTCTCTAGAAATGTACAATCTAACAGAGGAAATAGAACCCATTTCATGACAAGTAATAAAGACACACAAATATAAGTGCATACCTCAGGTAGCTTTAGTGGTAAGAAAATACTTTGCCAAGTGCACATACTGGCTTAACACTACAATACATCTTGGTTACTTATTGTTGCACAGCAAAATAATCTAAAATATCTTTTTAGTCAGGAGTGGTGGCACACACCTCTGCAAGTCTGAGGCCAGCCTGGACTACAAAGTGTGCTTGAGGCCAGCCTGAACTGCATAGTGAAACCCTGTCTCAAAAAGACAATAAATAAATAAAATAACTTTGTAACTTGGGCAGGGCTGGTTGAAGGAAGCCTCTCTTAGCTCCACATAATCATGAAGGGTGGATCCAATGGGCTAGCACATCTCCAACATACTCTTCTCCCCACGGTTGGCAGTGTGGTACTGGGCTTGAGTCTGCTCTCCTGCCTCAACCCCCAGGGTGCTGGGAATAAATACATAAACCACCAAGTCCATTATACTTCAAGAAGTTTTGTAAGAGTTTATAACAGGACTTCGAGGCTGGGCCTGCAGATCCTGAATGGTAGCTAAAAGGAGAGTAAAGCTTCATATTATATTTTTATTCCCTAAAACTCCATTCAGATCCCTGCTCAGCTTTGCACATAGTCATATTATTCTCTCAAGAAGTCTGCCTAAAAAATTAGCAATAGGAATCTATCACCCTTAAATTTTCCTAGCCTATTGTCACCCTTCTTCATGCCCCCTCAAGACTAAGAATACCAAGATAAGAATAACATTTTTTACAATATCCTATTGCTGACCTCCTGGAACAATACTTAAAAGTTCTTAGTCACAAGCTAAACCTGCAGTCACCTTGGACTCCAGGAAAAGTAGAACTTCACAGAACAAGCCACGATGAGGTCACCCCGCACACAAGCAGGGGCAACCATCTCACAGGAATCAAAGTACTCCAGCAAGCCATAAGGACTTTTCCAGAGCCAACACACAGAACCAGTTATCTTGACATAACAATCAACCAGACCAGAGCTTGACCAGGACTACCTACCCAGCCAGCTATGCAAACCCCTCAACTATGCAAACCCTCAACCCTTGTCTCTGTTCCCTTTTCTATAAAACCCCACATTATCTTTCTTTTCTTCTTTTTTTTTTGGGGGGGGGGTTGGTTCTACCTGCCCTGAGGGCGGGGGTTGGCACAGCATGTGGTGCTGGATATCAAACTGCAGTCCCTTGTGCCTACTTAAGCTTGCCTAAGCAGGTGCTTTAGACCACTGAACTATCTCACCCGCCTCAAAACCCCAAATTTTCCATCAGTCCCTCAAAGACAGATCTTGAGCTGATCCTCTTTATCTATCCTTCCCAGCATGACCATGCTGATTAAAGCTCCTTTCCTGCCCTCCACAACTGCCCATCTCATTGATTGTCTTTTTGGGACAGGAAGCCAAGCCAGGACTTTTGAGACTCCCAAGCCCTGGGCCTCTAACAACAAATTCTAATACAATTAACCCTAGCTTCCTAGGCAGTAATCCTCCCCAACCCCACCCGTTACAGAGAAAGGAAATTTCACCTTACACGTCCATTTTTTTTTTAATTTTATTTATTTGTGTGTGTGTGTGTGTGTGTGTGTGTGGCCAGCTCAGCCCACCAGGGGGCGGGGCTGGCTGGCATGTGGTGCTGGGGGATTGAAGCGCGGTCCCTGTGCTTTGCTAAGCTGGTTCTAAGTAGGTGCTTTAGACCACTGAGCCATCTCACCAGCCCCACGTCCATTTTTTTTAAGAGTGTACAAAATAGTATTAAAACAAAAAAATCACAAGTGATATAGAATTTCACTTAACAAAATGATATGATTTTCACAGCATTTGTTGTAATGCATAGTGTTGTTTTCCACCTAGTTGTTCATATTACTAGATACACCTTACATGTCTTTAAGCGATACTGTAGAATACCCAAGGATGGAAGCTTACAGTCAGGACAATAAAGTCTAAAAATATAGACTTTATTTTTACTACTAAGCTATCTGGCAAGATAGCTTAGTAGTCTAAAGTGCCTGCTCAGGCAAGCTTAGGCAAGAGCTCAGGGATTGCATGCTGAGCTGGTCACATGCACTTATGTGCCTGTGTGCACGTGCGCGCATGCGCACGCAAAGATAGGTGGTTAGAGCTGGCCAGATAGTTCAGCAGATTAAAGTGCCTGCATAGGCAGACGCAGGGACTGGGTTTGATTCCCAGCATGCCATGCCATCCCTGCCCTTGGGGTGCAATGAGACAGCGATTGAGATGTGGTAGCATGCACCTATAATCCCAGAGCTTGGGAGGCTGAAAACAGGAGGATCACTACGAGTCTGATCTGTGTAGTGAGACCCTATAGACCCTGTACTAAATACATAAAGAAAAAATAATAATAACAATAGGTGGTTGTAAGATTGCTGCTCTGGCAATTCAATGATACGACCAAGAAATCAGGGGATTTTTTTTTTTTTTTTTTTTTTTTCGGAACCGGGGATTGAACTCAGATCATTGCGTTTGCCAGTCAGGCCCTTATCCTACTGAGCCATCTCCCCAGCTCCTATAGTCACACTCTTCACACACACAACCCCACTCAAATAAGGGAAATGCGAAAGGTAGAACTTTGGGTTTTGTTGTTGGTTTTGTTTTCTTTTGGTTTTGTTTTTTTGTTGTTGTTTTGTTTTGAGGGTTCAGTTCTGGTGTTTTGTTTTGCTTTGTGGCAGGGTCTGTACATAGTTCTGGCTGGTCTCACTCACTTATGGCCATTCTCTTGCCTCAGCCTCCCCAGTAGTAGGCTAACAGGTGTGCACCACACCTGGTGTATCTGAGAGGAAAATATTTCCTCCAAGCTATCTTCATTTCTGTCAGACTCCAGACTATCTTAAAATTTCATTGGGTCTACAACCTCAATGTCATATAGTAATAAGAACTGAACATCTTCAGGTGTGAAAAATCCACACCAAGTACAGCCAGTCATTTAAAGGCTATTTTTAAACCAAAAACATCTCGGGACAATTGAGGCTTTGGGAAACCCCGGGATTACACCGTCCCTCACAAGGCCACTCAGGTGGTTCTTGACTTCTGTCTTCTAATCTCTGGAAGACCCTTCTCACGCTGTTGCTAATGTGACCCTCCAAGGTCTCTTGCCCACTTCAAATATGGCCACCCAGGCGCAGTCTCACCACCTGGAGGGCGAGGAGAATTACGACTTCCGGGCCTATGTCCAAAAGGGCCGCCCCTCGGCGTCGCGATTCCGAGTGCGCACGCGCGAAAACAAGCACGCTTCCGGCCAAAATGGCGGCACTCTTGATGTGCGGACGCCGGGAGTTTCTGCGCCTGCTGCGACCCCAGCGTCAGGTAAAAGCTGCACAGAAGCTGAGCGTCAGGATGCTACCCTGTCCCTGCAACCAGATCTGGGGACAGGAGCAGATGCTGACCTGGTCACCAGGGCCAGCGCGTCATGAGCCCGGGTCGCGTGAGGGCACGAGAGGGTTGGGTCTCCGGCTCCGGTCTCCGCGGCTGCCTTCGCCCCTGTCAGCGCCCTTACCCCCGCGCGGGTCTGCGGCTGCTCCGCTGCAGGCTTCCCGGCTCGAGCGCTGCCCTCCGGCCGGCACTCAACGCCTGCACGGCGGCAGAGCCCGGGCCATAGGCTGTGTGGGGGTCGTGAGCACAGAGAAGACCTGGAGGCCCAACGCTGGGACTTGCTCTCTCGGTAAAGAGGCTCCGTTGTCCTTTTTCCCGGCCAGTTCCACAGTGTCGCAGGCTCCGCTCAGTGGCCCCGGAATGCGCTGGCGGTCGGGTGCCATGTCCCAGCCGGTCGGAGCCGCGGGCTACCGCTCTGCGTCCTCGCCGACGTCTCCAGCGCCCGCGGCCTCAGCACCTCTGCCGTGTCCTTTGCCGAAGCCCAGGTAAGACGCTTCTCTGTGCTGTTTGCAAGAAGAGGAAGCATGTAGCAGAGTTCTTTCCCACATTGCACACATACCGTTTCCCCAAATATTGTCACTGCTTGGATTTCCAACTCAGTTGGGAAATGATTGAAAGTACAACAGAAAATATGTTATATTCTAGGCGTTATGTGTCAAAATAGTGGCAAGCTGACGAAGAGGATGTGTGTGAGGTGTGATTCCAGGTTGTGCACTAGAGAAATTGTAATTTCTACATCAAATACATTATTTCATGAATACTGTTTTGTGGGAGATCAAATAAGTCTATTGGTCATAAAAATTGAGTTGCGGACTGGTGGTGTAGCTCCATTGTAGAGCATTTGTCTAGCAGGCTAGAAACACTAGGCTCAGTCACCAGCACTGAAAATAGATTTTTTTTAAAAAAAAATGATTTAATGAGAAATTGTAAGCATGACTAGTTTCGATATATAGCAAAAGTCACGATAGCAATGTTCACATGGTTGAATTTTGAGCACTAATTCATGAAGTAACTACCCAGCATAAAGGAAAATCATATAATCTCAGCATAAGTAGTTTTTCTTCCTGTAAAAACAATGTGAGATTTTTAAGCATGGACATTGTAGGCCAAGTGAGAGAACAAAAAATAAGAGTCAAGAAAACAGAAACCAGCAGTAGTTATCATGTAGGTGTGTCCAGTCTGCTGGCCCCCCAGAATTGGGCAGGCATAGCTTGCCTCAGGTACACTGAATGAAGAGGAATTGTCTTGGGCTATGTATAAAATACATAGTTAAGGAGTGTGTGTGTGTGTGTGTGTGTGTGTGTGTGTGTTATTAAAACGCAGGCATGTTCAGCTTGCAAATTGCGAGTTGGACATGGCTGTTAGAAGGACTTCATTTCTATATGTCCCACACAACTGAGTATCATACATGGCTTCCTTTTACACAGGTCCAGGCCCCTCCTATTGTTCCTGCAACTCCCTCACCCCCAGTGGTACCTGAGGTGACTCCTGGAGAAACTACAGATGTAGTCCAAACAGCTGCAGAAGCGAGCTTCTCAGAACTGGGGCTTGGGTCATACACCCCAGTGGGATTAATCCAGAACTTTTTGGAATTTATGCACATTGACCTGGGCCTGCCTTGGTGGGGAGCCATCGCTGGATGTAAGAGGGACTATATCCTGGACGGGGGGGTAGGATGGTGAGGGGCTCACAAAGATGTCAGTTCTGTGCTTACAGAAATTTAGGATGCTCGGAAAGGCAGATTCAAAGGAGGCTCATGGTACTTAGATGCACTGTAGTTATATGTTCTAAAGAGCATTATAAAACCTCTTGATCATCTGGGAATTCAAAAAGTATGAATACTTGAACGTAAGCAGGCAGTTGGAGTGAGGGCACCTTAATAACAGCATGACACTTCTTGGTTTAGGAGAGTAGGTCAATCAGGCATTTAAAGCCCCAAATAAAGAAGCCACTCACTGCTCTTGTAAAGGCTGAAACTGTGGTTTCCATTCTGTTGCTCCTTATACCTTGCCCCATCAGTGGTCTCCTCTCCTGTATTTTCAGTATCTCCCTCCTTACTACCCTGCTCAGAACATATGAACATGGTCAACCATACCTATGTGTCAGTTGTGGCAAATTTTCTTCCTTTCATAACTTGTTCCCCTTTCCTTTTCCTTTTATACCTTTTAATTAAAAGAGGATATTCATCCAGTGGGCTTCTATCTTCTCTTACTCTTTAACCTTCAGTAATCTGGCCTTTTACTGGTTACTGCCAGTGTCAGTATATACTGTATACACTTTTCGTACCGTACTTGATCTTTTTGCATTAACTATTTTAGAGCTTGAAATCTTCCCCTTACCTTTTATGAAAATCTTTTTCTGCTTTTGTCTTTCTGACCATGCCATCTTGACTACACCGTACCCTTAGCTACCTCTTCAAGTGCTAATATTCTGGGTTCCATCCTCCCTGGTCTCTTCTCAGCCCAGACATTCATATGTGTATAGATACAGTACACCAAATATCTGCTAGAAGCCAGTTGTGGTGGTGCATGCCTGTAGTCCCTGCAGTCTGAGACAGAAGCAGAACTGTTAAGTTTAAACCCAGCCCGGGCAACTTAACAACTTAGTTAGGCTCTCTCAAAATAAATTTGTGTGTGTGTGTGTGTGTGTGTGTGTGTGTGGCCAGTTCAGCCCACCAAGGGGCAGGGCTGGCTGGCATGTGGTGCTGGGGGATTGAAGCGCGGTCCCTGTTCTTTGCTAAGGTTGTTCTAAGTAGGTGCTTTAGACCACTGAGCCATCTCACCAGCCCCTCAAAATAAATTTTAAAAAGGGTTATGGATGTAGCTCAGTATAAAGGCCCTGCGTTAAGTCCCCAGTAAAACCTTTTGTGGAAATGACCAGTGATACAAAGTGTAAAAAAAAGAGCAAGAGGGAGCTAAAGGAGTATGCCACCAGATTACTTTCTTTTTTTTTTTTTTTTTTTTTTTTTTTGGTAGAACCAGGGATTGAACTCAGGCCCTTGCACTTGCCAGGGAAACATTTATTCCACTGAGCCATCTCCTGGGCCCCACCAGATTACTTTCTACTCCAGGGATTCCTAGAACAATAGCTTTCACACCTCCTGCCTCAGCACTGCAGAGCTTTGTTAAGGTCCCTCTGAGCAAGGTGGTGCTCTAGCATGAAAAGTCCCATTGCCAAGCTTTTCTTCTCCCAGGGCAGCTTGATTTATTTGCATATGGTACCTGTACTTGGGTACAGGAAAAAAGTTCCACTAGAATAGAACAGTTTAGGGGCAGTTGATGTAGAAAGAAAGCTGTCACCTTTTTGTTTGAGTGAACAATAGGATTCCTAGTCATCTGCTTAGAGAGGTTACTTCTAAACTTTTGTGATGCCAGAGCAGAGAAACTGAATCTTGCGGACACCTTGTCCTTATTTCTGGGCCCTAGCCACCATGTAGAAAAGTCTGCAATAAAGAAAGACTTTTTAGTGAAGTCCTAAAAACCTTCAGCCTCCTAACTGCAGCGTCACTTTCACACCACACCCATCCTACTTTGTGTTTTCCAGGTACAGTGCTTGCCCGCTGCCTGGTTTTCCCCATCATTGTGAAGGGCCAGCGAGAAGCAGCCAAGATCCACAACCATGCGCCTGAGCTCGGGAAGTTTTCCATTCAAATCAAGGAGGCCAAGTTGGCAGGAGACAATGTTGAGAGTAAGTCATCTGTAGGGTGACCATGGGAGGGGACCGCAGCTGCGCCTCTGATGGTCTACTGGGAAAAAGGGACAACCTAAACCAGGGTTACTATACTTGAGCAAGTTGTAAAGAGTATGTTTCTTGGGCCTAATGTTTCTAAAGATTAGCCAAGGTCAGTTTAAAATTTCATGTCCCAGGTGATGAGGGGGTTCACCCTCACTGACATAACTGTTAATCTAGCCACTGATTTTATCTCGACCTGTAGTTTCCAAGGCCTCCACAGCATTGAGACAATACCAGAAAAAGCACGATATTAAAATCTTCAGACCTCTCATCCTACCACTGACTCAGGTGAGCAAAAACATTTCCCTTCTTATCTCATCCTGAACCTATTAAATGACCTTCTGTATGTTTTCCATGCCAAGAGCAGGCAGTGGTGATGGCAATGGCTTTCAGTGATGAGGTGGTGAAAATGTCCCCTCTGTTGAAGTGTGCTGACGCGTTTATCTCTGTTTATCCTGTGTAATAGGCTCCAATCTTCATCTCCTTCTTCATTGCCTTGAGAGAGATGGCCAACCTTCCTGTACCCAGCATGCAGACAGGCGGCCTTTGGTGGTTCCAGGACCTCACAGTATCCGATCCTATGTATATATTACCGGTGGCAGTTACTGCTACAATGTTGGGTGTCCTTGAGGTGAGCCCGGGTTGGTCACATACCAGACCTGTAGAGTGAATGTGAGTAGGGGCAAAGTGGTTGTGCCGAATAGTCACTCTCCTCCCCCCAGAGAAACATAACAGATGGAAGAGAGAGCAGAGCTAGAGTTGCTAGAATTGTGTTCACTGTGGTTTTTCCCTGCTGACAGTTGGGTGCTGAGACAGGTGTGCAGAGTTCTGACCTTCAGTGGATGAGAAGCGTTCTCAGGTTGATACCCCTGATAGTCTTGCCCGTAACCATCCACTTCCCCACGGTAAGTCATGGCTTCGGAGCCAGTTCCACATCCTTCCACCTCGGCTGGCCATGCCTAGTGGACTGACCATCAGTGCAGCTCCTGAGTACCCTCTCTCCATTGTCACCCAGGCAGTATTTGTGTACTGGCTCTCCTCCAATATGTTCTCCCTGGTCCAAGTGACGTGCCTCCGGATTCCAGCTGTGCGTACTGTCCTCAAAATCCCCCAGCGTGTTGTACATGACCCTGCCAAATTGCCTCCAAAAGAAGGCTTCTTTGAAGGCTTCAAAAAAGGTAAGGGCACAACCCGGAGATAATGGTCTACAGGTGGGAATGGGGGCCAAGGTTATAGCTCAGTGGTATAAGTGCCTGCCTAGCAAGCACAAGGGTCTGAGTTCCGTTCCTGGTACCAATAAATAAGAGTAGGAAAGAAACTGATCTTGTCTTCTCTTCACACAGGCTGGAAGGATGCTGAACTCAAACAAAAGCTCCGTGAGCGTGAGCACCGCATGCAGAATCACTTGGAGCTAGCAGCCAGGGGTAAGTCATCCCCGCAGGTTCAATTCTGCTCTTCAGTTTCTTCTTTTCCTTTGTTCACTGAGATTTCATTTTCCTCACCTAGGTCCTTTACGACAGACCTTTACCCACAACCCTCTGCTACAGCATGGAAAGGATCCCAGCACTCCCAACAGTGGCAGCAGCAGTAACAAACCAAAGTCAAAGCATCCCTGGCGCGACACTCTGGGTTAACTCATGTTCTGGTCATCCTGGCAAGAACTGTCTCTCCAAAATCTTGTCCTCAAAACAGACTTCATACCATATCCTGGGGGTATGGAGAAATTCGTTTTAAACACCGATTCCACTACAGACTTACTCCATGTGTGAGAGCACTGGGGAGTGAAGTGACCTTTTCCATCCGTGGGGTCAGTAAACCTTGTGCTACAGGCTGCTTCTTGGTACTTTTTAAACAAAAATGGGCTGTGTGCCTCAAAACAATGAATAGGTTGGGTCACTGTAGCTCTTGGCTGGCCTACTCTCAGGAAGCGTGAATGCTTTGACCTGGCCCGTAAGAGCTTAAGCCTTGCTTTCAGGCTGTGTCATTCATCCACATTTGCAAGCCATTTCTTGTCCCAAGATTACCTGTGCAGTTTTCTTCGAGGTACTGAAATTCACTAATTAGGAAAAATGAGAGGTGGTATTTGTTTTTATGCACATGCATTTCACAACAGTGTGTAGTTTCCTTGTCTTCGCATAGTGATTGATTTTATGAACTTTTACCAGCTGGCTTGAGAGGGAAGAAATAATGAGAAATGTTGTTTTTAGACTTTCTGTTTAGAGTAATGGAGGTGTCCCAGAGACACTAATAAGATGAAGCCACTCCACCTTTAGCAATATAACCCTTTTATTGTCCAGCACCTGTGACAGGCCCATGTCTTTAAACGAGACACACAATGTGGGGCACTATTGGCCCAAGAAAAAGGGTAGGAGCCCCAGAGGTGCTGTGCTCCCCACCTCAGTCTGCTTTATCATCCCTTTACAGAATCAGGAACAATACGTAGCAAAACAAATAAATTACTTCACTTCTCAAAAGCAAGTTCAAAGATGAAGCTGCCTAAACCAGGCTTCCGGAGAAGGGAGTGCTCCTGTTCAGCTTCCATGGCCCTAACCTGTAGGAGGTAAGCCTGTGCTTTACATGGCTTAGGCTCCAGGTGGTATTCAGCTAGACTTGGGGTTCTCTTGCTTGGATATCCCTTCTCCATCTTCTGTGTCCATTTCTGCAATCACAGACATACACAGGACCTGGAGGTACCATGTAGCAGATGCTGCAAAGAGAAATTTGAGTTAAAACTGGGAGGGGGTCAGCGGGGCTGATTTGAAGAGGTACTGAAGGGAATGAGCTAAGCCACAGGATTAACATTGGGGAGGGGCCATGGCAAAGACGACTGGGACCTAAAACACCAGGCTTCAAAGTCAACGAGCTGACTTGAGGATCCAATGCTTACCCACAATCCTTCGGAGGCATCGAGGTCGTTTTTCTTCTGGCACTCTGATGATGAAGAAGTAGAAAGGCAAGCCTGAGAGGCCAATGCCAATGCCGATGAGGGAATTGATGGTGTCACTGTAAAGTGGAACAGCCACCAGGAAGATGGTGCAGAGGCAGAAGACAATGGGGAAGAAAAGGCTGAGCTAAAGGAACAGGAAACAGGCGTTAGCTTGGAGTTCTTGATGGTCAGAGTAACCCCACCTTCCACAAATATCAGAACACAAGGCTGGGGCTGTAGCTCAGCAGTAGAATGCTCACCCGGTATGCCCAAGGCTCCAGGTTCAATACCTAGCACCACAAAAATGTCAAGGCTGGGCAAGGTGGCACACACCTATCATCACAGTACTCCGGTGGGGCTGAGGCAAAAGGAGCATAGCCTCAAGTCCAGCTTGGGCAATTTAGGAAGACCCTATCTCAAAACTTAAACACAAAGCTGGGTGTGTAGGTGAGCACCAAGGCCTTGTGACAAGGCAGAGCACAGGGAGAACAGAAGTTTACCTTGAGAGGACGAGATCGGTCAGGTTCCTTCCAGCGCAGATAAAGTTGGCCCGCAATAGAAAGCCCCACAAAGAACCAATAGCTGAAGCTATAGTAGTTAATAAGCTGAAAGACGTCTTCCACACATAGGTAGATCAGCGCCATGATACCCTGCGGGCACAAGCCCAAGTCAGCTCAAAGTATAAGCCTCACCCCCCCTTCCAAGTCTCATCTGTCCTCTTGTTCCTCTAGTTTCAGTCCTTCATTCCCTCTATACAAATTGGTACTAGCCAATTCTTCACATCTTTGCCAGTGTGACAGTCTTGAGCTTCTCAGTGGTAGGTCTGGGGACATGACTGAGGGCAGCACCAGGACCCAGGCCCCTTCCTCCCTCTCTGGTGCTCCTCCCCTGTGCCCTGCTTCCCAGCTGCCAGGAAGTGAGCAGCTATGCTCCACCACTCCCTTCAGCAAGGGGTTCCTACCTTCGAACCCAGAACCATGAACAGCAACCTCTAAAACTATGAGCCAAATGCGTTAATCCTCTACAATACACAAAATAATCCCTTGAAAGCATTTTCATTTCTACTATGGTTCCAACTTTTATTTCCAGTTCTGACCTCCAGATCCATGGTATTTTATTGCAGGACTTTTTCTGATGCCCTTTCTCTTGCCCAAATCTCATTTCCACTGTTAACCCTGATCTTCAAAAGCCACTGCAAATGAGCTTCCTCCTCCAAGGAGGTATTTTGGTGCTTTGTGGGAGATTTTTGTTGTTGTTTTTTCCTAATTATCCCCTTTCCTCATGCAATTTTTTTTTTTTTTTTCTTTTGAGACAGGGTCTCACTATGCAGTTCAGGCTGGCCTTGAGCTCACTGGTCTCAGACTTGCAACAATCTTGCCTCAGCCTCCCGAGTGCTGGGATTATAACCATGTGCCACCATGCCTGGCAGAAATAATCATTTCTTTTTTTTTTTTTTTTTTATATCATTTCTTCACTTAGGAAGAAATACAGCAAGGAATATCACAGAAGAAAAGGCTGTGCAAAGGCTACTTCACTCGGTCATACAATCACTGTTGGGCTCGGGAGATGGCTCAGTAGAATAAGCGCTTGCCTGGCAAGCGCAAGGGCCTGAATTCAATCCCCAGTTCCGCAAAAAAAAAAAAATCATTTATCATATTCCACATATTTTATGCCTTATCTTAGATGAGAGGCAGTTCCCATTGTGCAGAGAAATCAGTCTCTCCTGGAAACCACTGCAGTAGCTGGTATAGTGCCTTGCCCATGATGGGGACCACATCAGTAGTTTTTCTACCACAATCCCCTCCAGGCTCTCAGCTGAACAGTCACATCTACCAAAGTTTCCCCCACAGTATATGGATTTCAGTCTCATCTTCACAAAACTTACATTGAATAGCAGGGATGGGACAGGTGTGAACCGCTCAACATGAATCATGCAGATGGCATCAGGGAGGTGGCCTTCTCTTGAGCCCACAAAGAAAAGCCTGTTTAGGAAGATTGGAAAGGCTGAGAAAACTGTGGGGGAGGGGTCAGCCTGGTTCACCTGCCACACAGCCTCCCGCTCTGCCATCCCATCAAAGGATTTGAACACAGAAGGGGACTGAGTAAGGACTGGAGGGAACAAGAAAGGCTGGAGAAGACCGTGATTATCAAGTCCTGGTCCTATAAGTTGTTACACCTCTTGCCATGGCTCTGGAATACCCAACCCTGCCAGCAGAAGATGCCCCTCTTACCTAGAAGCAGCCACAATGGAGGCGTTGAGGCCACCAAAGCAAGACAATGCAACTGCCAGTGGAACTGTCCAGTTGAATATTCCAAAAATCTGGTCTGCAAAGGTCTGAGGAAAACGAATGAAAAACACAGAAGAATCTAAAAGGGATGAAAAGCATGGAAAGGCTTGTCCCTGGATTCCTCCTTTCAGAAGTCCAAACCTTCCACAATGGGTAACAGGACTTTCTTGCAAACCTAATATCCTATATGGGCTTCTAACCTTTGTCCAAGCCTATAAAAAGCTAGATAGTTCCAGAAGCCCACCATACACCATGGACCTCCTGTAAGTAAGTCCTTTACCACAGCAACGGCATCACTGGCCAAGATATCCTTCAAGTCTAGCACAGTGTAGTAGGCCACATTGGTCAAGATGTAGATGATGGTGACAATGGGCATAGAAATGCCAATGGAGAGGGGCAGATTCCTACAGCCAAACAGAAGAAAGGACACATCAGTCATGCAACCACATCCCTCCCTGTTAATCCTTAAACTCCCTGCCTGTCTTTCCAGGATGGAAAGTCATGCTACATTTCACCAGTATCTTTGTCTCTGAGGAGGACTGGCTGAAGTTCTGAACTCTTCAAAACCAAAAAAAAATATTGTGGACCAGGAATATCATACTAGTTGCACACCTGTAATCCCAGCACTTAGGAGGCTGAGGCAGAAGGATAGTTGCAAGTTCGAGACCAGCCTAGGCTACAAAGTGAGCCCAAGACCAACCTGAACAGTGTAGTGAGACCCTGTCTCAAAAAGAAAAAAAATAATCAAAGAAGAAGAAAAGGCTATACAAAACAAAGGGTGGTGGTGGAGAGGAAGTAAGGGACTTACCAAGAACTATGTCAGCACAGCAATTCTTGATAAGATAGTTGAGGAAGATGGCAATGATTTTGTTTTTATATACAAAGATCTGAATTCCTTCTCTAATAAGATTATAAACATTGGAAATTTTGTTTTAAGATAGAGAAATATAGCTAGGCATGGTAGTACATTCCTATAATCCCAGCATTCAGGCTGAGGCAGGAGGACTTCCAAGAGTTCATGGCCAGCCTAAACTACATAGCAAGACCCTGACTCAAAAAACCCAAAGGAGGGGCCAGGGAGATAGCTCAATAGAATAAATACTTGCCAGGCAAGTGCAAGGGCCTGAGTTCAATCCTCAATTCCACCAAAAATAAAAGAAAAACCCAAAAATGATTGAGAATTATCATGGTGGCATTTACCTATAATCCCAGACTCAGGAGCCTGAGTCAGAAGGATCACCATGAATTTGAGGCCACCCTGGGCTATATAGCAAGACTCTGTCTCAAAAGAGAGATAAAGAGAGCCAGCTATAGATCTCTTAAGGTCCCTCTAGTCCAAAGAGTTGTATCTTTACATATATTTTGGACAGTGGACTGCCAAAAAGAAGAGGGGCAAATCCTCACATCATTTAGCTTCTGTCCAGTAGGTGGAAGCACCGTGCAGGCCTTGATTCCCGTTCCTACTATCTGCTCCACAGATTGTGAGTAGCAGTGGACCAAGAGTGCTTTGTCTTAAAGTCTTAGAGTTCATTGGTATAAGGGCTGTTATTCTTATGAAACATCACAGGAATTTCACTCCCTGGCAATCTTAGTTCCCAGATTCGGGATATTTTAGAGTCATGAAAGGTTCTAGAGATTCTATAATTCAACCCCTTCACTAATGAAGGAGGCAAAAAGCAAGGCAATTTCCTCAGTCATCAAACAAATCAATGGAAAGACCAGCTGAGGCCCTCTGACTCCCAGTCTGGGGTTCTCTTCGCTTTGCAGGACTGCTGACTCCAGAGTAATGGCTGGGTGACTGAAACACTACCACGCTGTCAGTATAAACCAGGGAATCAAAGAGAACAGAAGGAAAACAGAAATGTTTCTCAAAGTCAGCAACCTGAAATTACCTACATAGGGATGAAGGTGAGTGAGAGATTACCACGGAAAAAAAGATTTTTTTTTTTTCTTTTTTGAAAAAGGCTCAGGCTGGCCACACAACTCCTGGGCCAACCAATCCTCCCGTCTTAGTCCCCTGAGTAGTGGGGCTACAGACATGTGCCTCATTCCTGGCAAGGAACATTTATTTTAAATGCAGGCCAGAGAGATGGCTCAGTGGAATAAGTGCTTCCTTGGCAAGTACAAGGGCCTGAGTTCAATCCCTGGTTCCACAAAAAAAAAAAAAAAAAGCATACAGGAGGGGCCAGGGAGACAGCTCAGTAGACCAAGCATTTGCCTGGCAAGCACAGGATCCTGAGTTCAATCTCCGGTAGAACAAAAAATAAATAAATGCATACACAGGCTTGTGTATAAGGCACAACTTGCAGGAATGAATTTATAAAGAGTTCCCAAGAAGCTTCACATCTTAGCTGTCACCACGCATGGACAAGTTAAACCTCAGGACCTTAGGCCTCATGTCCACTACAATAGGGCTGATGGAACCAGCCCACCGCAGTTGTGGCCTGTTGTCTGGCACCCAGTAAGGTTCATTAAATGATAGCAGTCACTCTATGGAAAATTGTGGTGAGATACCTACCTCTCCGGATCCTTGATCTCTTCAGTGACATAGTTGAGGGTATCCCAGCCTGAGTAGGAGAAGAGAGCCGAGTACAGTGCCAGGGCAATGTCACCCACTGCAAATGATGAGCCCTCAAAAGAATTCTCCAAGTTAGCTGAGGCTCCTGGAACCCAAGCACAGAAGGCAGAAGAGTTAGCTAGAGGTTCATTCCCCCAATTTCAAGATGATCCAGTAAAGGAGTAGAATGGTAGGTATAGGAATAGCATCAGATGAATGGCTTACAGCACTTTGAGTTGTTGTAAGGACAGGGAGCAGAAGAGGCATCTACACATGGGCCAGCACACGCAGAATGGCATGAGTGGGGATCATGACAGAAAGCACCCAGGCAGCTCTAGGGCTGGAGAACCAGTGCTCTGTTTTACTGGGACTGTCCGCTTCCTTTCTAACACCAACAGGGCTAACAGGTAGGAGAAGGACAGGCCTCAGGATGCCTGGGCCAACAGAGCAGCTGTAGGGTAGGTTTCATACTTGGAAACTGAGAGGAAAGAACAAGGAGTTCATTCCTGACCCTTGACCACTTCCAAAGGCAGAACAGTCAGCAAAGGTACTGAGCTGAACAATCTATAAAAGCCAACTCCTAGAGCATGGCTGTCAGCTCTTTTGCCAAGATCAGCCTCCTCTGGAGACCAGTTAAAGACAGGTTTGGGGTCAGCTGGCCTGTGTACAAATTTCAGCTCCTCTCTTAACGACTAATAATTTGGGCAAGATACTGAGTACAGCCTGTTTCCTCCTCAGTAATAAAAAGGAAATTCTGGGGCCGGGGAGATGGCTCAGTAGAATATGCACTTCTCTGGCAAGCACAGGGGTCTGAGTTCAATCCCCAGTTCCACAAAAAAATAAAAAATAAAATAAAAATAAAAAGGGAATTTTAACAGTCCCTATTCAATAAGGTCACTGAAAGGCTCAAATGAAATAATGCACAAAGTATACTTTGAGGAGTGTGGCTCACAGAATAGGCTTAACAAGTGTTAGTTGCTATTATTTCTTACCCTGGCCAAGTCTAACAATGCCTGCAATGATGACCCCGATCAGCGCCAATACTTTAGCATAGGTGGAAATATCTTGTACCCGTGTTCCCCACTTGACATAGGCACAATTAATGAAGGTTAAGAGACCTGAAAGAAAAATAAAACTAATTGGTGACTGAACCTTCCCACCCAGAAAGCCTTAGGCTCCCAAGCAATGTTTCTAATACCAGTCACCAAGACGAACCCCTGGGCCAAGAAAGCTCATATGTGAATTCTGGTCTGCTTCATATGGGAAACCTCTGCCCGAGAACATCCGCGCCATTACCATTCAAAGGCATCTGCGGAGCACTCGTGGACTGCCTTCTACCTACCACCACAGACTTGTCCCCCCACCCTAGCAACCTTAGGCAGGAGACAAAGCGATCATAGCTTTGCTTATATACGAAGGCACAAGTTCCTACACCCACAGCACTGGGAGGCCACTGGTAGCTGGACGAGTTTTGGCTGGACGAGTGTGTTTTGGCTCTGGGCTCGCAGGTCACAGTCTCTCATTATACACTCCTGACCCTATGAGGGGAAGCTCTAGCACCCCCACTCTGACTTTGGTGTTCCTGTTAACCTGCAAGAGTCTGACTCTGACTTATCTAATGTTTGGGCAAGTAGGGCAGGATGTATGGCCAAGGATTAGGATGGAGGCCAGACTTCCTATCCACTGCCTGCCAGCCCATCTGCTTGTTTTTGATGTTTTAAAAGATTCTTGCAGCTAAGCAGTCCTAATAGAATGGGGACAGGGCATTTCTTCCTCCCTGGATGACACAGAGGAGCCATTCACATTTCTCAAGTCCTTCTACCCTGTGGTAGAGGCAATCCCTTTACCCAAGTAAGCATCAATAAAGTTTATAGACCATCCTTAAAGGGCCAGGATTCTGAACTGGGGTCTCCCCAAGGCCTGGATTTCTTTGGCACAGTATTATGTCTATCTGATTATATATATATATATATATATATATATATATAATTTCAACAACTACAGAAAATAGTCCACAACTTTCATAAGAATCTCAGGACCAGCCAGATAGCTTCAGCAGAGTGCAGTGGCCAGGTTCGAATCCCAGCCTGCCATGCTGCCATGCTGGCCCTGCCCCCAGGGCCTGCTGAGACTGCAATTGAGACTGGGCGTGTTGGCACATGACTAATCCCAGCACTTGGGAGGCTGAAAACAGGAGAATCACTACGAGTCCAATCTACATAGTGAGACCCTGTAGACCCTGTACTAAATACATTAAATAATAAATAATCTCAAAGAAGAGGCTAAAGGTGTAGCTCAGTGGCTGAGCATGTTCTTAGCATGCCCAAGGTCCTGGCTTCTACCCTCAGCACCAAAAAATAGTAACAATAATAATTTAGAGAAATCTATTAACTGACCCCCAAAAAGTTGTAACTCATTACTTCAGAAGAAATTCAAGGCATGCACATGCTGTGAGGTTGACCAGTAGTGCCAAGCTGTGGCAGGGATGAGAGAAACAATGTTGGCATAGAGATCCCTTGCTGGCCCCTCAGCTAGGTCCTTTGCTGGCCCTCAGGCACACAGGCACATGCCAACACCTTCCCCTTGGTGACACAATGAATCACTTCTTGGCTGCCTCCTTCTGAGCCTACCATCTGCAACACCAGAGGAGTGCTTGTTGTTCTTTTTTTTTTTTTTTTTTTTTTTGCAGAACTGGGGATTGAACTCAGGCCTTCACACTTGCCAGGGAAGCACTTATTCCACTGAGCCATTTCCCTGGCCCCTCAGCTGTTCTTGAACTCACTATGTAGCCCAGGCTGGCCTCAAACTTGTGGTGATCCCCCTGCCTCAAGTCTCTCAGGCGACAGGATTACAAGCACACAGCACCAACCCCAGCTCAGGAGTACTTACTTAAAGACCTCCCAAGGGCTCTGAGGACAAAAGCAGCCTCCCTCCGCCTTACAGAGGAGAAGAAAGTATGCATTTATCTGCTTTAGGCCATCAGTGCAGTTAGAAACCCCTCGCTGCCTGAACTCTCCTCCAAGTGCACGGCCTTCAAAGTACCCACTCTTACAGTCTTGTTGCTTCCTGGACTCATCCACTCTGGTACTTCATTCTGAGAAGCAGGAAAGACTGGCCTCTCAGAACAGATCTCTCCCTCCTTCTCTCCCTCCCTTGGCCTTCCCCCCTCTCCTCACCCCTATTCTACTCCCTACCAGATTCTTTTCTGCTCTTCTGAGAAGGGACATTCCTGTTCCATTCAAAGGCTCACCCTTCTGCCTAATAAACAAGACAGTAAACAACCAAACTTTATCACAGGGCTGAGCAAACTGCATACTCCAGGCTAAGTTAATAATGAAAAACAGGAGCTGGGGAGATGGCTCAGTAGAATAAGTGCTTGCCTGGCAAGCACAAGGGCTTGAGTTCAATCCCTGGTTCCGCCAAAAAATATATAATAATAATAATAATAATAATAATAATAATAATAATGAAAAACAGTGTACAGTCTCCATAGGCATCCTGCAAAATGACCAAAGTGCCTTTGTCTTGCCCTCTGACAAATCTATCAAATCTGTTGATCCTCCTCAGCCAGTCATCCGTTTCTACCTACCCCCTGCACCTCTACCTCCTCCCCATCCTACCCCTCACCTTCAGGCTGCCCTACAGCCTAAAACACAAACCAGGTGTCCCATGAGAAATATCAGGCGGAAGTGTGCTGCCACATGCTTAGGAGAACGGGATGCAGGATGCCCTAATGCAAATTCCTGGTTGACCTTCAGAGTCACCACTGCTCACACTATCAAATTGAACAGACACAGGGGACCACTCTATTTCACAGTCAGAGTCTACAACTGTGTGCCTCGATGTCTCTTAGCTCCCACGGGTGTGAGAAGGAAAGACAGGACAGCTGGCCCACTTTACTGCTGCAGTCTCTGCAATGAGGATGCAGGATTGTTTATATTGGTTTGTTGTCTTTTTTGAGACAGGGTCTCACTGTGCAGTTCAGGCTTGCCTTAAGCTCACTCTGTAGCCCAGGCTGGTCTTCTCAAACTCACAGCAATCCTCTGCCTCAGCCTCCCCAGTGCTGGGATTATAGGTGTGCACCACCACGCCTGGCAGGATTGTTTATGTTTGATGCACTTTTTCTACTACTATATCCATCCATTTGACCCATTTTTTACCCCGCTATCCCCTTCCCCAAGAGCTCCTCCTGAAGTAATTTCTCAGTCACAGACCCACCATCTCACCCTGATCTGCTCTTTATTGATACCAGTGGTTCAGTTCAAAGAAAGAAGGAATCCTATGGAAAGAATATGGGAGTAAAGAGAACTGCCTAAGAGAGCCAGCCAGCACTGTCCCAGAGCCCTGCTTCCCCCAGGGCCTGTGGGAACAGGAAATGGGTATGGCACGCAGCATTGCTGATCCAGCTCTCTGTCCTCGCTCCCAGCGGATACAGCTGACCGGAGGCGACAGAGCCCAAGTGCACTGCTCTTCAACTGGAGCGCAACCTCCTGCCTCAGAGTCAGGGCCAGGAAGGGACCACAGGCTGAGAACAACACAGAGGTACTTGCAAGTTAACCCCAAGGATGAAGATGCCCAAAGACTCTAAAGGCAAGCCAGTCCTCACCCAGTCCAGGACCAATTCCACATGACCTTCAGCCCTTGACCCAGGAGCAGCAGGAAGAAGCGGCTGCAAAGATTTCATTCCCATAACATCTAAAGAAGTGCTCCATTAGAGATATCAAACCTCAGGGCAGGCCAGATAGCTCAGCGGACTAAAGCCCCTGCTTAGGCAGAGCACAGTGGCAAGAGTTAGATCGTGGGAGTGCAGTGTCGGCCCCGCTCCCAGGGTGCACCAAGATGGCGACGACACTGGGCATGGTGGCATGCCTGTAATCCCAGCGCTTGGGAAGCTGAAAACAGGAGAATCACTATGAGTCCGATCTA